TGGAAATTCTGATGTCATCACGTGACCTCAGAATAAAAGATTCAATAAATACAGTTCTAATAAAGATAGAACGTAGAAACCTTTTATTCCAAAGTTAAAAGACTCCTCTAAGTAATGACACAGTCAATATATAAATATCGTATTTGATAATTTTTACTTTTCTGGCTGTTATATATAACAGAGGGAAAGTGTAGCACTCATCGAAAAATGTCCCCTCCCAAATTTTTACATTTTTGGACTCAGGACACCTTGAAATTTCGAGATACGCAAAAGATTCGAGTTTTTTTCTATATGTGTGAATGTTAGACTGTGTGGGGGAATGATTTTGTTCACCCTGTTAAAGCCTAATAATTTCTGTGGTCAGAGTGGTCAGAATCAGTCAGATGGTTTAACACAGAAGTTATTTATTAAGCATCAAAGTGGTTGAACTAAATCATGTCCCCATATACATTCTAACATCTTAGGCGAGAACATCTTAATGGGCTTTTACTGTACTATTATAAAATGACAAAAAAGCTTACTTTGAAAGTAGAGATGAGTTTTATTTATTTATTTATTTATTTTTTTTTAATTTTGAATGCTAATAATGTGTAAAATATTCATTAAGATATATGACACATGACTCCTTTTATGTCTTCACCCTGTCGACCTTTAATTAAGAATCAAAATTTAATAGTATTAATGCCCCTTTATACGCAAGCTACAGTGACACATTTCGTTTCTTAAACTTTACCCATTCTGAAATATTGTTTAATAACTCAGAACAGAAAGTAAAGAAATTAAACAAATTAGACGCTAACACACACGCACGTGCTAATTTTTCCCCTTTTATTGACTTTTTTGGGGGTTCGGGAGGTTTCTAAATGTGTAGATATGCAAAAAAGACTTAGAGGGTCAAATTTGACACAATTCCAATACTTTTCCGTTTTATATACATAACAAGTTGGTAAATAAAAAGGAGTCAGAGTCGGCGGATTTTTTGATGACTCCGACTCCAGCTAAAACACCAAAACTCCACAACTCCGACTCCTCAGCCCTGATCAATACCTTAATAATTTAACGTAAAATAATTAGTATTTATTCAATTATAACACATTTGTTTTGAAAGTTACAAAATCCACTTCAAGAGTTTAAAATTTGCATTAAAATGTATACAACAGGATACATTTGAATTAGTAGAATGTTCTAGAGCAGTGGTCGGCAACCAGTGGTCCGTGGAAAAATTTGGACATTGATCAACTGAAGGTTATGCAAAGTATTACAAAAGAAAAGCAAAATGCTTAGTTGCTTTTTCTCACTCATTGGGGTTTTTTTTTATTTGAATCTAAAACCAAAATGACTGTTATCAATAAATAAACAATTAAGAATATTGTGAGTGCAATTGTCATTCTTCGTGGAAAAGTGCTAAGAATCCATAAACTTATTTCAAACAAGCAGCAATGAACTTTAGGCTTCCATTAATTTATTATTGTGAAATTCAGGAGTAAAAAGTAATTTTATACAATCACTTAAAAATTTTATTCAATTAATTAACAATTTAAAGTAACATTTTAATGGCAAAAATGACACATTTTGTCACTTTTCATGAAAAAGGGAACTAGAACTTCTCTTGGGAGAGATATTATCACATATCTCTGACGAACATCTGTCCATTTGTGTCAGAAATATATCCCATCAGATGTTACAAATACTAAAACTTGATTGGAGAGGAATTTAGAATAAAAAGGTAGAGAAAGTGTATTCTCAAGGCAGTCACTGTTAGTAAAAACCTGCCATAATAGACGGAATAATAAGCAACTGCCATAAAGGAGACAGCTGACCCAGGAACGACTCTGCCATATAGAAGGTGGACCCTGGCATAGAAGCTAACAAACTCTCTCCAATATAGCATCGCAATCCTCTCTGAAAGTAACTCCATGCAACCAGAAGACATCGAGTAACCAGAGGTATTATAATTAGAACCTTTGTAAACTCTCTCCATGTTTAGAGGTGTACATAGTTAGGCATTGATTTAACAATAGATTGTTCTTTTATATATGTTTTTATTTTATTCATTAAACTTTTGTTAGTTATTTGTTAACCTGTCTGGTCTTTTATTTGAATGGATACCCTATCAACTTACCCGTGACCCTCCCCACTTGCATTTAAAGCCCTCCTAAAATGCCATCCAGTGACCAGAACTAACAGTTATGATGATTAAAGGGTTTCCAAATCTAATCTTGAACCCCATATTCTCACATTATAATTAAACAAGCAAGTTTCATATTAATATAGTAAAATTGAACTTTTATGATCATTATTCTACAGATTTTGTATTGTTTAAAAAATTCATGATAGTGGTCTGCTGGATTCAAAATTGTGAGCTTAGTCGTCCATGAGGTCAGAAAAGTTGCAGACTGCTGTTCTAGAGCATATGGCATTTGACTTTAAAGCATTTGTTATCATTTCTGTATATGAAAATGGGATCTGGAAGGCAATTAACTCATGCAAAAAAGGTTCATATTGACACACTTTAGAAAGAAGCAATCACACAAAAGGAAATTGAAAGATTTTATGATGATCAGAATATGTAATAAGTAAATGCTTAAAACAAATTAGAGAGGAGGATAGAGAAACCATTAAAACCCAGAAAATATTCTGGTTGATCCAAAAAAATGATATTGTTTTAGTTAAGTGAATTTTGCATAGCAAAAAATTTCTCTCAACATCAAGTTTAGCTTGAAAATGGTCTAGCAACATTGCTAAAAATGTATTTATTACAACCAAATGATGAAGACTGGCAGAATTAGACTACAGGTCATAAGTTCCTAAACAAAAGCCACTTCTGAACAAAAAAAAAAATGTTGTGAGTAGTGGACAAAAGAACATTTGCAGTGGTCAACAGATGACTGGAAATCTGTGATCTGGAATGACAAAAGAGCATATTTATTGCCACAGAGGTTTAAACTTGAATGTGTTAGAAAATCAGTGAAATTTCCATCAAGGTCATGGTCTGGGAGTGCATATCACCAATGGAGTTGGTGAGTTTTCTATTCTGAAAAACACTGTTACTGCCAATGTCTATATTGATATGATGGAGACTTTTTGAAATTCCAAGTATTGAATAGTTATATCCTGATGATAAACAAATTTATCAGCAGAATAATACACTGCACATATGGCTAAGCTTGTACTAAAATGGTTGAAGCAGAGGAAAATTCTTCTACAGTGGCCTCCAAATCCACCCAATTTATTGCCAATAGAGAACATTTGGAAAATGAAGACACAATTAGAGAAGGTAAAACCAAACAATGCATTTAGATTAATTGCTTTAATACAGAGTGGAGTGAAATCACCTCAGATGAATGTGCCAAACTTTACCTAATCAATAGCAAGCAGTTATTCGAGCCAGATGACATCCAACAAGCTATTTTAATAATATTTTGATAATTGACATAATTATTGTATATTTATAAAACCATTCCAAACGTTTGAAATGGATTTTGTACTTTCCAAACTTTTCAAATAAGTTAATGTGTTACAATTGAATAAATATTAATTATTTTGTTAAATTATTAAGGTCTTTATTATTGATTGTTTGGAAAGAATTTCCTTTTTTTTCCACAGGGGGAAAAACAATTTTCTTATAATACATAAATATTTTATTGAATTATATATTGACCATTTTGGTCCAATACCTGTTGCCATCTTTGTGGTAGTAGTAGCATGATTTCACGTTCATAAAAGTTTTGATCTTTGTTTCAAAAAACTGATCCAAATGATTTTTGACATCCTCATTTGAAGTAACTATTTTACTATTTAAAAAAATGTTGCAAAGACCGGAACAAGTAATAATCTGAGAGTACCATATCTGGCAAATATGGTGGGTGTGGTAGCACATCCCATCCAAGCTGTAACAGTTTCTGACAAGTTACCAAACTTGTGTGAGGTCTGGCATTATCATGGTGAAACATTTCATCTTTTCTTTTGATCAATTCTGGCCTTTTCTGTTTGATGTATCACTTAATTTGTCCAGTTGATGGCAGTACACTTCCAAATCAATTGTGGAATTGTCTGGTAGAAGCTAAAAAAAATTCCCTTAAAATCCTACCAAACAGAAAGTATCACTTTTTTTTTATGAATATCAGCTTTCAAAGTGCTTTGAGCCAGCTCATTTCTTCTACTCCATGATTGCTTGTGTTTGACATTGTTATAAACAATCCCTTTTTTGTCACCAGTTATGATTTGCTTCAAAAATAGGTCATTTTCTTGATGTTTGAGAAGAAAATCATAGATATCAATGCGACAAAGGAAATCTCTTTCTTTAAGAACATGTGAAACCCATATATATAGCGCTGAAACAAAGCCAAGTTGTTTCAAGTGATTATAAATGGTTGAATTCAACAAATTTAATCTCAGCAATTTTCTCATGTTGTTATTTGGTGGTTTGCTTCAATCAATAACCTTGATTTAGACTTCATAAGCATCAACTGGCCCTCCATAACATGGTGGATCTTCAAAGCATTTTTTTGGCACTGTCATTCTGTGAACACATCTCCATACATGTCACACAATTTTTTCTTGCTTGAATAGCATTTTTACCTTTTGGGTAATGAAAAAGTAAAATATGCCAAAAATTTTCCATATTTTGGGGGGAAACAACTGCACAAAATCAAACAAAATTTTTTACAAATAAGCCTTAAAATGTCATCTGTCAAAATATATAATGACAATATGGTTTAAAATGAAGTTGGCGAGTAAAAATACAACCAATCCCTCTGGTAGTAAAAAAATGAAATTACTTTCCAAACAACCCAATATATTGTTTAATATTGCTCTTTCATATTTTAAATTGAAATGCGTTCATAATTTATTATTAATTTTCAAATTTGATCATTAAGATGTAATAAAATGAATTTTTTCACAACACAACAAACTTATGAAAAGTAGTTGTATAACATTTTTAAAAATATTTTTTATTTTTGAAATTTTATAATTTAATAATAATGATAAAAACTTACTATTGCCTTGACCAGCTGGTGGTGACTGAAGCTTAAATACTACATTTACAGCTCTATTTTGAATGGATTGGTAACCTATAAAAGAGCATTTTGTGTATGATATAATGATCATTTCCATTTATATTAAATTTAAACAATTTTTTAATGCTTATTGACATCTAAAGAAGAATGAACTAGAGATAATCAACTGAATAATTTTATATTTTTGTCTTGAGCAATTGTTTGGACTTTATTTAATATGGAAAATTATACCTTAATATAATAATTCCAAAACTGTGAAGTACAGTTCTATAAAGAAAAGTCATATACTGATACTTTCACTAAAATCTATAAATGTTCCAAACCCTAAATATTACTTATAATTTACAAATTTTCCAACAAATCTGTATTTTTTTTGTATTGCTAATTATAACTATTGATATAAAATAATGTCATTCTATTATATATATCAATGGTAGCCAAACTGTGACTCTTCTACACCCTTATTGCAGCTCCCATATACTTTGTACCAAGTTTATAAAAAGAAATTACGTTACTATTTATACATATGGTATATAATATTCTTTGTAAGTTTTCTGGCTATTATGTAGTGAAATATACAGAGATCATAAGTGTAACTCACAACTTCACTTTGAACAGGCAACTGAAAGCTTAGGGCACATTCAAAAAGTCAAAGGAGTTAAACAATTGTTTGCCTAGTCAGTCAGTCAGTCATAAAATACCAGTAAAGAAAGAGTGATATTTACTGTAGAACAGTGATAACTATATTATATATAGTTAAAATATTTTAAATAGATGATGCAGTCTTCCAATCGTCATTCCAATAGAAAATGCAGCTCTTGTTTATTTACAATAGGCAGTGTTTGGCTCCTATCATGACAAGGTTTGGCCACCCTTGTTATATATAGCAGCTTAAAATGGAAATCTCTAGCATTCTATGTCATCACTCAAAATTATGAAACAGTATGCAATGATGTCATAGTCTCATTTTTCCTAAATCTAAGATGATAATACTTAACAACAACTACCTTTTTCATCAATGTGCTTGATAATTCTCTACTAGATCCAGTAACTATTTGAGAATGCCACTAAATGCTGAAAATAACAATCTACTGGCTTTATCAGATCCACTTTTTCCATGTTTTAAGAAGGTAGTAGAAAAGATGAAAAAAAAAAAAAAAAGGTAAAGGGCATGAATGTTGAAGTTTAAAACAAACAATTTTTGCAAAGTGCATTATGACTTTGCTACAATATTAATTGTGTCTTCATGCTTGTCTCAACACACATCTGTTATGTTTCTTTTACTAATTAAAAAAGGCAAATATTTATACAGTAAAACCTCAGTTTTCGAACTTCATTCATTCCTAAAAGTTATTTGAAAACTGATTTGTCCTACAACCGAAACAGATTTTTCCATAAGAAACAATATAAAGCCTTCTTTCTCCCCTTTTTAGATTGCAGAGTCTAGGCGGTCTTGATGGGACATCTTTTATATGAGTCATTAATTTTTTCCTTGGTATTTCAAATACAAACATGATGCTAAAAATTTGTCTCCTACCAGCAATAAGAAAAGTCTGTTCGATGATAATGATATGATGTCATAAATATGTTTTCCAATAGCAGTAAAAAAGTGGAAGTTGCAGAGCATAATAAAACATTCCCTAACTATTTAGCATCTATAATCTAGATATCAAATATTTAGAAATAGTAGTTTTTCATCTGCAATAAAAGTCTGACATGTAATAGTCTAGACTAAAAAAGTAAATATTCTTTATATTATTACAATAATGGCAATTTGTGTATGCCTGGAATAAAATGGATCATTATTTCAAATTTCTAAGTTATTTCAATAATAAACTGTGCAACAAGAAAGTATTCAATGCTTTTCAAATTGCCATAATTGTAACAATAGCATAGCTATGAATTTCCTCAGAAAGTTTCGATATGATTTTGTTTATTGTACAATTAACTTCAGATTAATTGGAACTGCAAGAATGGTTGCTTTATAAACACAGTTTTAGTACAACCAAATTTAAACTAATGAGAGAGGTTGCGGCCAACGTTTTCATCGCGAAAACGTGTACGTTGGATGTTCAGCACCACCTTCCTGTAAGCCTAGAAGTTTGACAATGGCGTTTAGAACGTCGAGCATGATTCTACTGATGTTCCAAATGCCATTGTCAAACTTCTAAGCTCACAGGAAGGCGGTGCTGAACATCTGATGTACATGTTTTCATGGTGAAAACGTCGGCCGCAACCTCTCTATTAAAATACTTAATTGGAATCCAATTGATCTATTCAGGAAAAATTTAGAACATACAAAGCTTTTTAAAAATTCATTTTTACAATATACACACATTTTACAGTAAAACCTCTAATCTTAAATACCTCCTAAAGAATCAAACTAGATTATTGATCCCAGCAAATACAATTTATAAAGTGACTTATTTTTCTATACCTAAAATCAAACAAAATTTCACAAATCTCAATGTTGTCTAAGTTGAACTAGACAGTTTCAGCAGGTGAAGACTTATCTATTACATTCCACAGAACTTTTCAGTGCACTGCCTGATAAAATATCTTTAATACAGCTGTGTAAGTCATCAGATAATTCATTTCAAATGAAATAAACTATTTTATTCTTATATACCTATGTATTTTTGACTGTTATTTTTGTAATTATCACACCACATTTTCTTAGAAATCTTGGCTTTTTTTTCTTTATTTTTTAGTAACTTTAAACTCCAATATGTACATATTGGATTTTTCCCCTCTCTTCAGTTGGAAATGAACTTTGTTATTGGCTTCTTTATCCAACTGTGTTAAAACCATTTTATTACATCCTTTGTTTGTGAACAGGTTGCCATTTTTGTGAAAAACTCACCAGATGGTGAGAATATTTGACATAGTATATTATGCAAAATTTAATTTTTGAATAAATTCAATGAGCACAGAGATAATTTTATGATAAATAAGAATCATGAATTTAAGATATAAATGATTATTATAGTCTCGTATATTGTTCTAATAATGATTCAAATAAATATTGTGGACTTAAATATACTATAGAATTGAATCTCTTATTCTACTGCTTGTATCTGAATTAAACTTTATTTATCATATACCTCAGTATATAGAATGCTTCATAACTCACTCTAGCCACTTTTTAGTCCCTTCAGATTTGGAATTTAGATATTTTACTCTACATAATGTCAATAATACTTATATAAGTTTATTAACTAAATGTTTTCTATGTAACGTCGACGTTTTAACACCTTATCATTTAATATTAACGTGTCCAAAGTTAAAGGAAATTCGTGCACATTATAATATAAACAGCTCTTATAATTGCAACTCGCTAATAGAATTGTTAAAAAAATTTAATAATATGAGTAAAAAAGAATTATATAATATTTATAATTATTTTTGTAAAATAGTAGAAACTTATAATAACAAAACAAATTAAATTAAAGAATATGTGCATATGTACGCGAGAAATAAATGCAAACTAAAAAATTAAAGAAAATGTATAGTTTTATTAAAAATAAATATGGATACATGTTTCTACAACCCCTTGTAATAGGGAAGTAATTCCCAATAGACAATAAATGTTGATTGATTGATTGATTGATAGATATTTTACTCTACATAAAATATTTATATAGAAAGTCTGAGATTTAAATCTGAATGTAGGACTAAAACCCATCCATACTGGAAACTTCCACTAGACTTAACATTCATGAAGAAAGCTTTTTATACATTTATATTGCTGAAATGCATTTTAAGTTCATATTTGATGAATCCTACTCAGTCTTGTAGATATAAATTATGAAATTAAATAAAAAATAATATTTTATAGTTCTTCATTTATAGAATTGTATTTTTAATGTATGATATGGAAGATACACCAAACATTAAATTTTAATAAAAATCTAGTTTTTATATTTTAGGAAAGAATATTTAATTTTCCTTATTGTTCATTATACTTAGTTTATTAAAATTAAATATATATCTTCTTGCCATACTAAGAGTTTTATTAAGGTATATCATAATTACGTCTTCAGTGAGGTTATTCAATTAACACATCTATTTCTGATAATCTATAAATATATTTTTTCTAAATGGAACTGCAATTAAATTTATTACAAATTTTCATTTATTCCTAGGAGATTTTTCAGATCAGTTAGAATTACAAAAATTTCCTGTTTATAAACTAACAACAACATAGTCAAAACATTAAATAAATGATTGAAATCCAATTAATCTGTTAGAGAAACCTTGTACTGATGTTTTTAACACAAATGAGCTATGTTGTTTCATGAAAACTGATAATAGAAATTATGGATTTTGTATTTCAGAAACATATATATTTAATTTCCTATTAAAACTTTTGATCATATTAATATTTATTAATTAATTTAGAAAGTTATGGAAGAAAAGTGGTAATTGCAGTCCCACTCCAGGCCAATTCTTTTCTTCCAGAATCATCTAAATTAATTAATAAATAAATATTAATTTAATTATAATTATTAAATTTAATAAGAAATGGTGTCTAATGTCTACCTTTAGGTCAAATTACTTAGCATTTAATTATTAATATCAGCAGTAATATAGCCCAACCTGATCTGGCAATGGTTTGACTTTAATGATTTATCAAGTTGGAAACAAACAAGGCACATTTACATAATAGTACAGCCACAACACATTAGATGTTTACAAAGAAAAACTGTTTAAAATTTGTGATGTTAAGTAGTTTTTTAGTGAAATATTAGTGATTTTTATTAAGAAATTTTGTTGTGTCAGATTGTTTTCTGATAATCAAATAGGGGAGGACAAGCAAATGAAAAGTAATTTTATACAAGAAAATGTGTAACAAACAACCTTAGCTGCAGTAATAGTGATGCTGTATGCAATTCCAAATGCCATTACAATATACTAAGCTTCAATCTCTGCAATGATCATGTTTTCATGTCTTCTGGTTCTAATAATAAAATATGCAAGAACAACTTTCTAAGATACATCATCGTGAAAGGGCACCCATAAGACAAAGCCAAGACTGGAATTACCCCCTAGAGATTTGCTTTATTCTTTTTTCAAATAAAAATTTTTTAAAGCAAAGATATTTTATAAAGAAAGGTTTTAAAATAAATTTAAAGATTAAATTCAATATACATATAATATCTCTATTAAAATAAATTTATTTACTTTAACAGACATTATAGTGAACTAATTACAGTCTAAGCAGGATGAGACAATCCTTTAGTACTTGGAAGAATTCAGATTTTTTTTTAGTACAATTGGAATTTTATTTGCCAGTTGTGTAATTTAACATTTCCATGAAAATTAATGAATGTAGTATGAAAATGAACTGTAAACAAGGAACATGATTTTAGAGAAACAATTGGTTGTTAATTGATCTAAATCTCATGTTTTATCCCAAAACAAAATCCTGCTGATCTAACATGCATGGTAGCAAGGATTATATCATAAAATCATCTTAGAAACACCAGTTTGTAACATTCACAGCATTACCTACTTTTACAACATACATATTATAAATGAAATATTTCACTTTATTTAATATAACTGAAATTCTCATTTTGATAATGAAGTTTAATTATTATTGCAGAAAAGTAACTTCTTTAATAATTATTTACTTTCTTCCTACTAAAATTACAGAAGATTTTAATAGAAAATGATTTCTTTTATAATTTTAATGTTTTTCAATTTATATTGTAAAATAATAATTTAAAAAGTTTAATTTATTATCTAAGCAATTATACAGTGAGGGAGCTGAAATCCCCAATCACAAGGGAAATTACAAATAATGAAAAACTTCTAATTTTTATTGAAAATTAAAATTATGTTATTTCATAATTTTATCTCATTTAATAACTCATTTCAATATAAAATTTCATATTAAATTGAATAAAAAAATATTCTCAATTTATGGAATCCATGGACTATTGGATGTCAGATTTCAGGTCCTTAACTGTAGAAAAAAAATTTCTTTATACTTTTATGTAATTTAAATTTCAAAATTTATATTATAAGAATAATATCAATTTACAATGGTTTTAAGTTGAAACATTCAATTCCAAAATTAAATTAGTAAATATATATATAAAATGTTTAAATTTATAAAAATTTAAGATATGTCTTACAGAAGGTTTTTCTAAACTGTAATTTAATATACGTATGGAATTATATCATATTTTTATTTATTGCAAACTGTTTTATATCTATCACAAACAAACAATTTGAAATGATAAAAGTATTCTAAATAACTTCTCATTTTATGAAAATTAAAATTTTCATAAAATGAGAGTTGAAAAATTGCATTTTATATTTCTAGTTATGTATTAAATTACAAATATTTTCAATTTATATACTTTCTTCTGAAAATGTAAATCTGGAAAAAATTAAAAGAAAAAAAAATATATCAAGAATAAATTTAAATATAAAAATTAGTTTTTAGTAGGCATCAGCAAGATAATTTTATACAACATTCAACAATTGAAAGATCTCACATCCAGAAATGAAATTCATTCCACATTCAGAAAAATATTATAGAAAATCCTGCTCTTCTATAATATATATATTAAACTTAGTAAAGATTTTTAAAATATTCACAGAATGATTATAACCAGACAATTTAAAAATAACTTTTTAGAATTCATTACAGATGATAATTGAATTAAAGAAAAAAATTTTTTCTTTCAGTTCTGAAAAATAAAAATTTTTCTTGTTATTAATAATATATTAAAAATTTATGAAAAAAAAATACAAATTCTTATAGAACCTCAATGCTAACATCGAATGTCCATAGATTATTTTTTAATAATATAAACTTGCAACATTCAAATTCAATAGTAAACTTCTACTATTGAATTTTATATATATGACTCAGTTTTATATATTGATATCAATATATATTGATATCAATATATAAAACTGAATCACACATTTTATATATTGATATCAATATATAAAACTGAATCACACATTTGACAATAAAAATTTTTCAATTTATAAAATAAAAAATACCTTATATTAATTATAAAGTAAAGTAGCTTAAATTTCAATAAATGGCAAATGTGTTAGAATTATATATTAAATGATATGGATAAATGTACTTTTAATACACTAAAGAACTTTTATTAGAAGTTCTCATCATCATGACCCAAAATACCTGAATAAGTAACTTTTATTTTATACATCTAATAACAATATGAATACAGAGTTATCACAATTGTGAAAAATATCAAAAATTTTTCAATAAAAGTTCTTTTATTTTCATTTAAAGAAATATTACATTTCTCCAACTCATTTATTATATATGAATTTATTTTTCCCCTGTAAATCAAAATTTTACAAAAAATTATTTACTATATGTAAAGTTGAAACATATTTTATTTACATAAAAATTCTATAATTTCTTCTGCACTGGTTTTTCTTTTCAGAAGAGGGCATTTTCAAAGCTTCAAATACCATAAAAGAGAATTCAAAGTCTTCTCTCAGCCACAAAATCTATAAAAAAACTGTGATAAACAGTTGTATCATATTTTTACTCTTTCCTGTTTACTATTTCCATCTATATTTGAAATTTAATGATAGAAATAGTAATTATTTCAGAATATCTGTATTTGATTTTAAAAAATATTCAATAATAGTGTTTTCAAAAAATTCTTATATTCAACCATTGCACTGTGGTGTTAGTTAATTTTATTCTTAATCTGAATTCTTAGTTAGTTAATATTTAATTAGAAATAGCTAGAGATCATTAGTCTCTAAAATCACACTCACTTTCTGAATCCTTGGCTGCCCAATTCCCATTTACAGCATGTTTCTGAGATGATCTAGAAGTGTTGTCAGATGAAGGAAGGTAGAATACTCTGTTTTCTGTTAGATCAAAGTTAGCAGCACCATCATCTATATTTTCATTGCAAATTTTAGTTGTAAAGATGATTGTGATCAAAAGTATCAAGACAAACTATAATTAATATATATGTGAAAAAAGGATACTAAATAACTATCAATTTTCATAATCTATGATTATGATTATAATTCATATTTTATAGTTTATTTCCTGCTTTTTGGATCACATTCACAAATTATATTTCATATTATTGAAACTGTGTTTGTTAATTTTATTTGGAATTAAAAACAAAAAAAAAATTTAAATCTACAGACTTAACGGAAAATAAATTTAAAATAATTCATATGAATTTCACTTAAATTTAAAGTGATAAACAGATTTCAAGTTAATGATTGCTGCAAAAATATAGATTGTAAAAGTAGAGCTACTTATGATATTACACAGTTTCCTTTTTTTTAAATTTTGTTATAAATTAAAATGTTTTATAATTTTAATACAATGATTTAAATTAATTTTTGAAATTTAGCAAAGATTCAAATTTATTTTTAAGATACTTCTATTCATATAAATAAATATCCTGTATTTATTTTAATTCAAGAATCTTTGAATAATTACAATTTTTAATTTCTTTTATTTACTTTCAAATAAGTAATATCAATAAATTTTTTTTAAATAACAATTTTTCATATGAGGAAATGCATTAGTAAATTTTGCAGAGCTGACTAATTTTCTTGCAGCAATCAAAAAACACGATAAAAAATCTTATGTTAAAATCATTAACTTCCATATAAAATGTATAATCCATTAATTTTTATAAAATCTATTAAAAAATTAAACAATGTTAAATCAATGTAAAATTTCTCTCAAATTTCATATTTATTGCACAATTGATATCAAATGCATATCAAACTTTGCATATGAAAGCTTCATATTTTCTTGGAATAAAACTGTTTTGGATTTTAAAACCTTTTTATCAGACTTTTCTTTAATTCCGAAACAGTTTATAATCCAAATGAAAATAAAATTTTCCTTTAATAATGACAAAAATTTGCTTTATTGGAACAAGCTGTAATAAAGCATATTTTTGACATTTAAAGAATTGGAGTTGTTTTATTTTAAAAATTTCATATCATTAAATACCCCATAGTAAATGCATATTCTATAATTTATACATAAAATTCTAAAATAAATAATAAATTTATCTTTACTAAAAAATTTTGACAAATAGAAAAATTAGATTATGCTTATTAAAAGTACAATTTAAATTTTCACTGTAAATGATTTTATAAAAATATAAATGCTATCATTACAGAAAAAAAATACTATATGAATTACTTTATTTCCTTATCATCAATCAATTAATGTAAAAATATTCATACCTTTTGAAATGATAGATGGACACAAAAGAAATACTGAAAATCCAAAATTACAAATCAAATAAATAAAAACCAAAAAGATTAGCCCAGAAAAACCTAACAATTTTTGTTTATTATAATGAACATCTTTTTCCTGTTAAAGTTTCACTGAATATAAAAAAAGTTATCATTATCAAAATGCATATTTTCAAAATCACTATTCAATTAGACAATATAAGCACAAATTAAAATATTCAATTTAAATTTTACTAACTGAAATTAAAATAAGAGATTTTCTCAAATTTCAAAAAATAGTTCTTTTGAGATGTCCTCATCAATTTTTCATGTACTATACAATGCTAATATGCATAATATGTTGATATGCAAAGGTAGAATAAAAATAAATACAAAAACAAAGCAATTAATTAATAAATTTCACAATTATTCACAATAGATAGAAATTAATGATAAAAACTAACGTAACTATAAAATAAGAAAATTTAGATAAAACAATAGTTTTAATTTGTACTCTTTGTGTAAATAAGGACAACAGATCAGATCAAAGTATCTTTCTTTTTAAATATTTTCAATGCTAATATACATTATCAAAGTATCAAAAAGATTCAAAACTTATAACAGGAATATCAAAGAACTGCTAAAAACACAATTCAAAATCATTATAAATTGCTATAATTTTATTTTAAATGTACAATGGTATCTCATACTTCAAACGACTAACTTTGAATGATTCAGAGTTAACTTATTAAATGTATTAGCTGATATGATTTAATTTTATCAATAATTTATTCTGTTATTTTGTTAATCACTTTTTCTTATAAAAAGTAATTTACAGTATTCAGTTAGTTATAAAACACAAAAGAGAGGTTGTCAGGAATAAATACCATAATAGTGCCTAAAATGAAAGGAAAATATTGCTGTTTGCAAAGCTTTGAGAAATACTGTTTGGAACAGTATTATTCCTATGAATCTGACAAGACTTATTTCAAAAAAATGAAATTCCTTTATCACAAACTGTATTATTCCAATATAGTTTTTAAATTATATCTTTTTCTATTTCTACAAAAATTTGTAAGTACAATTTAGCTTTTTGAAATAATTGTCTAGAAATAGAAAAAAATATATCTTGAGACTCTTAATTTAAAAAACTTGATGTATAATTTAATAATTTTAGAAATATAAACTAATATATACAATCGACCCCCACATAACACGGACTCCTATAGTTCGGATTCCTATATCACAGCGAAAAAATTGCGACAGTATTTGTATAAACACGCTAAAAGAGACTCGTATAATATGGTAAACATCATCGCGTGTCGCGACAGGATTGGTCGAATCTAGACCAATAGCGAATATTGTACAAACCGTTGAGTTTAAACGAGCAGCGGACCTACTAAAAACCATTTATTATTTAACGTCCATAAAAATTATATTTATATTAATGATGTCTCCGAAGTTCAGCAAATTTTTCGCAAAAAAAGTAATTTATCAGAAGCACGCGAGCGCCATTCGATGACAAGCTCCACGACGAAAACAAGCTTAAGCAATGGTGTAGTCGAACGGTGCACACTCGGTAAGTAATCCTACAATTTTTTGTTTATAGCATAGTTTATATGGATTATTCCCAAAAAATTATACATATTTTGAAAATGTTGAGTCAAATTAGTCTAGAATTGATTAATTTTATGGAAGAAAACCTTTCAAACAGCCGTAGTCCGTAAATTGCATACGTGCCGGGCTGTGATTGGCTGGACTTGTAGAAAATGGATTCATAAAAACCAGAACGTATCTACAGTGTTATAGGGGGTCAACTGTATTTCTAAAACTATTAAAAAGAAAATTGCTATCATAAATCAATAAATTGCCTAATTTTGTTAACTGATATTGTATATAGCAGGAAATCAACATATTAGATAAAACTTAATAAAATCTTTTAATCCTGAGTTTTTGATGTTCTATATTATAAAATAATTAACTGAAGTATTAGTAGGCTGACAAGTAATTATTATAGATTGCTATAGTTTTTTTATAAGTAAAATAATAAAATAAATCAATTTTATAGTATACAACATTTTTAATCATTTGATATTAAGAAAATTGCTATATATTTATTAAAAATAATTCATTTAAATACTCTTGATTAACTTCTTATTTCAAATCAATTAAAAAAATAACGCAAAAACAATCGTATTTTAAAGAAATCAGTTTAAGTATTTTCAGGCTAATCTATTCTATCTTCAAAATTTATTTCACAAAGAAAAATAAGAATTAAAAAATAAAAAAAAATTATTAAGTTTTGATTTCTTTGAAATAAGATTATCTTTGTGTATTTTGATTGTTTTAAAATACAAACTGTACTTTATATACAAATTTTGTTGCAGCTTATTTATTTAGATAGATAGAAATTAATGATAAAAATGTTTGTCAATGTTTATTAATATGCAACTCATTTAAGTGGCATTTTTAATACCACTTAAATGAGTTTCATATTAATAAATAAATAGACAATATTAATAAAAATAGACAAGCTGTAGCATGTCTATCTAATAATCAATCAAATCATCCTTTGCTAAACTTTACTCCAGAAGTAACAGCAGAATATTCAAATAATGTATAAATTTCTTTTGCTTTTTTCAACAATCTTGTGTGTAAAACATTTTTTCATTCTTTCTTCTCATATTCTACTTTGTACCACAAATATGTAATTACTAAAACTATAAAAAACCTTCAATTAGACATATCTTTAAATTTTTTGACACTTATATATGTTTTTATTTCAAATCATATGAATTATAGCTTATCATAAATATTAAATCAAGAAAGTTTAACAGGAAAAAAACCCCTCATTTTTTTCCTACGCTTATTTGCTTCATAGGAAAGATGCAATATAACTATAAGTGATTTAAATTAATGCTGACAATAACTCACAAAATATTCTTAATAAATTTAATTAATTATAGCAACAATGTTTAATAACTTAAGCCTGTACTTACTTCTAATGTGATCATCAGCTAACAATGATTGTGATGATACTACAACTGTGGCTGTACCATGCTGTGTTCCTTGTGAAGCTAAAAAAAAAAAGCATTATTATTATGAATCATATTTTTATGTAGATAAAATTACCTTCATAATTTTAAAAATATAAGCAAATAGATACAAGCATACTAAGATGTAATCAAAAGTTTATATTAACACTATCTATATTATATCTATGTTAAAACTGTCTAATCTCATCAGTTCACAATAAATTAACATTTCTTTTTCTTTTGAACTGATAAACTATTAATCATTATTCTACATCACTTTCACTTAAGTATTCATCAATACTCTCGATTTGATTCCTAACAATCCTCTGTGTCAATGATGCCTAACTATTCCCCATACCAAATCAGGCCTGAAAACATATTTGACACATCACATAAATGATAGAAATAAGCCTGCATTTAGTATATGTGAAATACACAAAATATACTGTGAAAAGAACAACAAAGAAGAAAATGTATACTGAGAGGACTTTCTATGGAAAACTGGCTCTATTTAGATACATGAAAAACTTGGAAAATGCCACATAATCAACCTGTTGGTAAGCTGAGAACCCATAACCAATTACCAGAGTTTGGTGGTTTTATCTACTTGGCGACTGGTTAGTCCAGCTACCTATGATTTAAATAAAATTTGGCCTTCCAATCAAAAAGTTTGGGCACCACTGTTCTATATCACCATCTTCATATTGGTGAATTAGATTACTGGTTTGTAGTTAATTAATGGTATGTTTCTTTAAAAAATATAATTTCACTACCTTGAGAATGATTAACTTTTATAAAAATTCCACAGCATGGAAATGGATTTTCTATTATTTGTGAAGAAACTGCCTCTCATGCTTCTATAATTGATTGTAAATAAATGTCAATTGATAATGGCTTTCTTTTTCCATTTGTGGTTAAAGACAAGTTTCCTTGACTAATTAAAATATTATGACAAAATATTCTTGAATATGAAGTTTGAATGTTTTCTCCAAAAGGCATCTCCTGGTATAACAGCCATATATCAGTTTTCATATTTTATAAAACTGCTTTTATTGATGAACTAAAATGCCACTTAAAAGAGTTCCATATTAATAAACATTGACAAAATTAATATGAACCTAGTTAAATTTACACTTTAAATAACGTTTTTTAAGCTACCGCCCATTCAAATTTTTCCAACTAATTCAAAACTAGTTTGTGATGAAACTTCTTAATTGCATTGGCCAGTTAAAATTTAGCAGAACATATGGGGGATATTTAAAGCTATTAGGTTTTCCACTTAACATCATAGTTATTTGTGATTTCTCATTCCCTTTACTAGAACAGAACCATAAAGAGCTCTTTGGTGCTAAAGTAGTAGACAATATCTGACCCAAACTTCAGTTTCTTCAAATCTAATAATATCATTAAATTCATAATTATTTTTGATTCAAATGTTTTGAATATGCAATAATAAATTTTATAACCGTATCAACATAATCAGCTGGTTGCTGACATACAGTAGTGGTTCTTTGTAAAGCTGTAGTATGTCTAGCTAATAATCAATCAAGTCATCCTTTGCTAAACTTTACTCCAGAAGTAACAGCAGAATATTCAAATAATGTATAAATTTCTTTTGCTTTTTCAACAATCTTGAGTGTAAAACATTTTTTCTTTCTTTCTTCTCACATTCTTCTTTCTACCACAAATACAGTTCATCCTCTAGTTCAGGAGTTGTGAATTTCAAATCCAGCAAAGAGCCAGTCAAATAGATGTATATCAGATGCAGGTTGTATTCATTATTATTTGGTAAACCAATACATATCGTAATTTAAAAATGGCTCTAATAAAGGCCTTTTTGTTGCCAGTCCTTTACTACTTACGTAAACAGACATTTGAATTTTTCTGTTTTAATACCCATAAGATGTTAGAAATATTGATTTAAAAAAAAAAAAAAAAAATCAAGGCCACGAACCAGATATGAAGCCTTAATGGGCCGTATCTGGCCCGTGGGTCTCCAGTTTGCAACCCCTGCTCCAGTTGTTCAAAAAATGGTTTTCATCCATTACCTTGAATTCACACATATTTCTTATTATCTTTATTGACAACTGTGTGATCTATTTCTTTTAAATTCTTCTTCCACTGTTTAATATTTTGACTATCATTATTATATTCCTTGGAAACTCAAAATAAGCATTTTATCAAATTCAACAATTTACTTTTTTTTTAAATTCAAGGGGTAAGGATCATTTCTTACCAGATGCCATTTTCATTAGCACTACCACCACCAGACTTGCCAATGCTTTTACAATACTCTTGCAACCTTTAGCAGGAAAGTAATGCCAAAAATTGCCCAATAGAAAAGTATAGAAACCATTACAAACTTCATTAAAAATTCAATGCATTGGCAGATGGTAGTAGTGTACAATCATTTTGTAAAAGTCACCTGAATTACTGTAAGTGCATGGGTTTTACTGTTTTTTGAACCACTTCTACCCTTTGGTTATTATTAAAATATGAGTCATTAAATGCAAAAATATGATAGTGACTACAATATTTGGTGCAAATGCCATTAATTTCTAAATTATTTATACATTATTTCTTTCTAAATATAGCATTTTATCACAAGTTTACAATAAATCACTAAACAATCACCTAAATATTGGGCTATAATATGGCTAATTAAATGATTGGTATAAAGTAATTTGTAATTAATTTAATAACTTATTTATTTAATTATAATTATTAATTTACTTAAGAGATGGCGCCTAACGTCTACCTCTAATGACAAATTACTTTATACCAATAATTTAATTAGCCATATTATAGCCCAATATTTAGGCGATCGTTTGGTGATTTATTGTATACTACTCGGATTTTAAGATGATGTTATATGTATCACAAGTTTATTTAGTAAAAAATATAAACAAACAAAATATTTATAATGTTCAAAATACATTCAATCAAAATACATATTTTTATTTCAAAAATTTTATCATCATCATCATTATTAAATTTTCTTACACTTTTATGAGAATAAACTGGAGAAATCCTATTTATTTATTTTATTCAAAAAAATTACTTATAATTGACAATATTTTATAACAGAAATAAAGATTACTTCTAAAACATCATAAAATTTCAATATGAATGGCTTATCCATATTTGATACAACAGAAACTGCAAATATTAATGACTTATAAATGAATAAATGAAAATTAATGATATACATTCTCTTATAGGCAAAAGAAACAACTCTTAACTTTCCTACTAGCTTAATGTTTGAAGAGAAGGCATTGATTATGCAAAATGTTTGAAAATAGTCCATTTGTTTGCAGTCTGTCAAAGTCGCTACTGAAGTCAGTCTTCTGAATTAGAACTGAATGATCTGAACCAAACTGAACTTCAAATTGTTTGCAGTGTGAAACATTGTAAATAAACATCTGCAAACAACATAACAGCAAATATCAATGCAGATATTTGAGACACAACACCATATACAGTCAAACTTTCATAAAACAAAATTCTGTATTACAAATTTTTTATGAAACATTTAAAATACACATTTTTTAAATGTAAAAATGCCTGTATTTAACTAAGTTTGGCAAGTTGGATAAATTAAAATATGTATATATATATATATATATATAATTATTTCAATTTTAAAAACTGATTTGCTAAATTGACTCATTCCTGCAATAGTACCACCAGGTGGCTTGTTTTGAAGACAAAACATATTTTATTATATCCATAATGAGATCTATTCTATCCTAGTATATCATCCTGTTACACATCTATATTCTAGGATAGTTTCATATAGCATTTTTGATACATTCAAAATTATGAAACAGCTTCCTTCAGCAAGAAATATTCCAGATAAAATTTTTAATTTTTTAAATAAAATAGTAGTAAAGGTAAAATTTACTATTTTTTAACATAAATATGTAAGAATACTTATCATTTCAATCAAAATATTTTCTTCAATTTCAATAAAAAATGTTATAACAGTAACTTCTATTTCTTTTTTTTGTGTTAAATACATACATATCATTTTATTTTGTTATTAATACAAGTTCAAGGGTATTTTTATAAAGCATTATTACAATATAGCACTGTTTTTTTTTCCACTTAACTTTTCTTTATTAAATTCTCTGAATTTCCCAGAGGAAATCTGTTATACAAAAATTCAGCTGTACATATGTGTGATAGTTTAATTTTCATATGTGTTGCTTTGCAGCTAATTCCTAGATTGTATTGATAGGCCTACCACTGATGAAATAGTCATCAAAATGTTTAGTATGTTGTTTGTAAATACAGTACACTAAGTTGATCATATACTTTGCTATAAACAACCAATTTCCTTGTCATAGAACTATTTCGTTGTTTGTAGCATATCTCTCTATGATGTTTCCATACATCATAAACTCTTCTGAACTTTTATTGCTGGATATTGTTTACACACTTCCTTATAGATTTTAAATGACGTACAAAATGCTAATTTTTTTTAAAACTCATTGTTTAATGTATTTTAGTGTTAACATCAAATTAACTTATTTCATTGGCTATAAAAAATTAAATACATATTTTATTTTATTATTTACAAATGTAGTTCTCTAATTCTGTTGTATTTTTTATTCAAGAAACAGTTCTACAAATAATAGAAATAGATATAAATATGCAATTTGATTCAGACATCAGAGTTCAGATATTGACTTTTTATCCATTAATGTGAAAACTTNAGGCAGACAAGTTTTAGATACTCCAGACAAATCACCAAGAGTATTGTCCAATTATTGGACAAGTAGAAACAGCTGCAAAAGCATCATGTATGATGTCATGTCTAGAACAATAAAATAAACTTAATTTTGATTTCCTCTCATAAAATAAGTTTATTTTATTGTTCTAGACATGACATATATATGTGTCATGTCTAGAACAATAAAATAAACTTAATTTTGATTTCCTCTCATATTAATTAACTAATAATAATTTCTTCCTTTAGATTAAATTAAACAACAGTACCTAGAATTCACTAATTATTTTTATTAGATGAATTTTTTCAA